TTGGATCGGCATAGTACCGGCCCGTTGCACTCACTTGGGGAGTGAATCATCGGACGGAAGATCTTCCTCTCTGTCTCTCCTCTCTGTATATCCGCCTTTCCAATGAAAAAATAATAAAAATAAATCTTTAATAAAGGTAACTAGAAAATTACTGACCAAAATCTCAGTTATCAATTGTTACTTATTAATTCTTTCTTTTTCATTAGAATTATAAGTTATTCACAATCAGTAGACTTTTGGTGAGGGGGAGTAGAGGAGTAGTTTTAGTATCCGCCACTGTTTTCATGGTGGTTTTAGTAGTATAGAAGCCATGTTGCTTAGGTGGCCCAGTACTCATATTAAGTCAATCCCTTGACTTCTGTGGACTTATTTGAGTATTCATAAAATGGAGACAGTAATAACTAGCTTTATAGCAGAGCTGTGCATTACATTTTCCGGGTACTGCATGGGAAATGGATGTGTTTGACTCCTGGAGACTTGGTGGTTGTCTTCAATCAGATCATGCATATCCCTTAGTAATATCCTCTCATTACTTGGCTGAGCTCCCCAAGGACAGAAAATTCAAGGAGATGCTGATGAAGAGTGAGGGACAAATGATTCAATGTGATGAGTTAGCAGAGTTACTCCTCTTCCCACCTTCAGGCCCCTTTTTTAAAATATGAAGGTGATGAGCAACCACAGTGGAGCAGGCTTATTACTTGGTAGAGTTTTCATATTTTAGTTCTAGGTTTCCAAAAGTAAGTTTAAAGAGGCAAAACTGTTAGTTTTATATGCAAGTTTATGATTTCTGGAGACACTGCATCTGCTCCAGTTTATTCCCATTGTTGCAAGAAAGCACCGAGGCTATGTAAGATGAACTGTATCCTCTAAGGTCAGTGAGTTACTGAGAAAACTAGAGATGAAACCTTTGTCTTTTTCTAAATTCTTTCTCTTGTCTTTTTTTTATTATTATTTTTAGTGGAAAGTCAGATTTACAGACAGGAGAGAGAGAGAGAGAGAGAAAGAACTTTTATCTGCTGGTTCACTCCTCAATTGGCCACAATGGCCAGAGCTAAGCCAATCCAAAGCCAGGAGCCAGGAGCCTCCTCTGTGTTTCCCAAGCGAGTGCAGGGTTCCAAGGCTTTGGGCCATCCTCAACTGCTTTCCCCGCTCTCCCAAGCAGGGAGCTGGATGGAAAGTGGAGGAGCCAGGACACAAACTGGCACTCATATGAGATGCCACTGCGTGCTAGACAAGGACTTTAGCCACTGGTCTACCGCACTGGGCCTACATTCTCTGTCTTGACCATTGTAAGACATTGCTGCTGGGACTGCAGCCAATCTAGCCTGGACCATTAGAAAAATTGAAGCAGTCGATGTATTCTTGGCAAACACACGGAGATATATTTCTTTTTCATATGACTCTAAAAAGTTTCCTGCATTGTAGTTTATCCAGCTGTTCTTTTATGTATCACAAATATATATCAATTGTTTGCATAAGATAACAGCTTTGCTTCTGTTAGTGATAAGAGATCTTTGCTAATGTTTACATTCTGTTATGAGTCAGACATTAGCTTTGCATAGATTAATTTGCATAGATTAATATCAAGAGAGATACACAAAATTAATGGGATCCAGGCCTAGTGGCTAAAGTCCTCATCTTGAATACCCTGAGATCCCATGTAGATGCCTGTTTTTGTCCCAGCAGCCCCACTTCCCGTCCAGCTCCCTGCTTGTGGCCTGGAAAAGCAGTCGAGCACGGGCCAAAGCCTTGGGATCCTGCACCCGTGTGGGAGACCCGGAAGAGGCTCTGGGCTCTTGCCTTTGTTCTGCTCCCGCCAGTGCAGCCACTTGAGGAGTGAATCATGGTTGGAAGTTCTTCCTCTGTTTCTTATCTCTGTAAATCTGGCTTTCCAATAAAAATAAATAAATCTTCCAAAAAAATTTATGGGATCCAAAATTATGGGGTGTAAATCAAGTAGGATGTATGGTTCTACTTTAGTGCATGAATAGTAACAAGCCAATATGTTTATTCATGTTAATCACTACTGGAATAAAGTGTGGATGATTATACTTGGTAAAGCATTATTAATAAATTTTGTTTTATTTTAAGATTGTATTTCCCTTAGAACATAACTGGGGAACAGTAATTATTTAAATAAAAACAAAAAATATATATTGCTTTGATTACGTGTGTTAGCTTTCTATCTAGTATTGTGGTTGTGCATATGCGTATGCACAGTAACGGGAGAGTATTGGCAGATGTATGGACGAGAATAGAGGAATAAAGTCTAATTTTTGAAAGCCTGTGTAGGCATGTTAAAATCTGATTTTGGTGTCTTTGTTTTATGCAATTTCTTATTTTAAGATGTGTTCCACAGTGAATAGGAGAAAACTAATGACTCATCGATGCCTTAAACAATGTTTTTTAAATCATAGAATAAGAGAATTACAAATACTTTATTTTATTTCATTTTTAAAATCCATTGTTTTAATATTTTTATTGGAAAGTCAGATATACAGAGAGGAGGAGGAAAGACAGAGATCTTCCATCCAATGGTTCGCTCCCCAAGTAGCTGGAACAGCTGGAGCTGTGCCAATTCAAAGCCAGGAGCCAGGAGCTTCCGGGTCTCCCATGTGGGTGTAGGGTCCCAAGGCTTTGGGCCATCTTCGACTGTTTTCCCAGACCACATGCAGGGAGCTGGATGGGAAGTGGAGCTGCTAGGATTAGAACCGGCCCCCATATGGGATCCTGGTGCATCCAAGGCTAGGACTTTAGCTACCATGCTATTGCACTGGACCCAAGAATCAAAAATACTTTTAAGAACTCTAGCTTTTAAAAATAGATATATATTTTTTAATGCTTAGCACATCCTCTTTAAAAGCTTAAAAGGAAAAAGTAGATGAACTGAATGTATTGAATTATTTGGCTGCAAAGCTGCCATACTGCAATGTTCCACAAGTGATACTGGACAGCTCCCATTGGTTGTAATTCTGCATCCTACTACCAACGGGGCTCTGTGAAGCGGGTCCGACTGCTTCACTGTTCGCCTGCGGGCTTGAGCTGGGGGCAGGACCCGGAGGGGGTGGAGCTTGAACCTGGGGAAGTAGTCTTCCAGACACTGAATGGAAGCAAGTAGCATCTCATGGCTGGATCGCTCGCGGCCGCTACCATGCACCCGTCCGGAGCCGGTATCGGGCAGCCAGTGCACCATTTGGTGGTAGGCTCTGCCTGCTGGCTGCCCGGCCAGAGAGCTCTGGGATTTGGTTTCTATGATTGCTGCTTAGAAAGCTCCATGATGAACCCTCAGGGCTTTGGGTACATGAATCAACCCTAAAGATTCCCAATGATGTAAATCTCCCCCGATGGACCTCTACCTAATTTGGCCTCAACCCATGTGTTTTTAAAATTGTATAACCAAATATATTTTCAAAACCTTTTACTACTCAGAAATTGGGCGGGAGAACAAAGAAACCTCCCATCTCCTGTGAACGTGTGAGGAAGCTGTGTAGTGTAACCTCTCAGGCACATAACAGGTAACTTGTAGACAATAGATTCAAGACAACATTAGACAACAGTAAAACTACAAAGACATATAGGGGAAACCAAGAGCGACCCTGACAACCTATTAATAGGAGGTCATGTGCGCAGAGCAGTGGGGGACCACAGAGTGGAGCAGGTGGATAGGAGGAGGCTTGTATCCTAAACCTGGAGTCTCCAGGATCCCCACCAAGGGCTATCAGTACAGGTGCCAAGGATCACATCCCAACTGCCAAAGAGACCACGGGGAACTGGAATGCCTTCGAAGGCCGAGAACTCAGAGGACATCCGCCACCCCCCCACCCCCTTTGGACCTACCACACGGAATGGAAGAAGCTGAGGCCTTTATCATAGGATCCAAGGCCATCGGAACAACAACCAGGAAACCTGAGTGATCTTCAGAAACAGAAGAACAGTAAACTTCCTTCAGGACTAGGGAGAGGAGCTATCTCTGCAATGGGTCCCTACCCTCTCTGCAATGACCATAAAGGACGCTCCAGAACCCCACACCCCCAACACACACACACACACACACACACACACACACACACACACACACACACACTCACAAATTGGAATGGATAGGCAGAGAACAACAAGGAAGACTTGGTCAGCATGAACTCGCACACCTTACTAGGTAGGACACGGGGATTAAGTAGTGCTCACCAAGGTATGGAAGATTGCTCTGCACATCCTTCCTAAAACTGTTTCGCACCTCAATTGTTGAAATGTCATTGAAATGGTCACAGGAAGTTGTTAAGACCATGCATCCAATTTTGACAAATTGGTTGCTCAATACTTTGTCACTTTATCCCTTAATATTATATATTGTTGCTGATGTTATGTTGGGGCTTTTAATTGACTGGGATTCTACTCTGTTGGCTCTGCCTTCGGACCGGAGAGGGTCTCCCCAAAAAGCCGCTGAATTTGACTGGACAATGAGATGCTGGACTCTATGCTTGGTGTATGCTTGCAATGAAGGAATCTCAACTAAACCTGAACTGTGGTTGCGCAATGGGGGAGGAGCCCACCATGGGGGGAGGGTTGGGAGAGGGGTGAGGGGAATCCCAGTGCCTATATAGAACTGTGTCACATAATACAATGTAATTAAAAAATATGTATAATAAAAATAAATTTTAAAAATTCTGTATCCTAGCATTTCATAGGCATTATTAATTAGGGATTCAGCTGATGGACCTTATGAATGAGGTATGATATGAGAATATGATAATGAGAATGATAAATGAGAAAATATTTTAAAATATAGTAGCAATTGAATAAATTCTACAAATAACCAGAAATTGCAGATAATAATAAAAAAAATCTACTTAAGGAAATATGTCAGAGAGGAAGTCACAGGGTTAACATGTGTTCACTACAAACTGTTCATGTTTAATTTTAATTAAGTTCAATTTGAAGTTTCATGAACATACTCGCATGCTATCTTTTGTGTCTTAGCTTTTCTGCCTTACTATTTCCAGGATTGAAGTGTGTGTGCCTTCTGTGTGACTCTTCAAACTTCACCTGCCAAACAGAAGGAGCATGCTGGGCCTCTGTCATGCTAACCAATGGGAAAGAGCAGGTGATCAAGTCCTGTGTTTCTCTCCCAGAATTAAATGCACAAGTCTTCTGTCATAGTTCCAACAATGTTACCAAAACCGAGTGCTGCTTCACAGATTTTTGCAACAATATCACACTACACCTTCCAGCAGGTAAGGAATTTATCTTTGTTGTTTCCAAGTTCAATTTTATTCTTGGGAAACTGTAAGCATGATAGAAATCAAACTCTCTTATGTTTCTTTAAATATGAAAATCTGTTTTACAATTCTTTTGTTTTTGACTAGTAAAATTCTTTAGAATCTAGCTGATGTGATTTGTTTCAAGTGCATATCTGTCAAAATATTGAAGACAACTAAAAATTTTAGCGTGTTCATACAAAGCATACTTTTCGAATTGACTAATGGATTTCAAGTAAAATGTAAATTTATGTGGTTTATTCTAAAGAAAATATATACATACACACACTAATCAAGAAAAAATGAGCAAAACATGTAACAATAGATTACCAATTTTTGTGGAGATACAGTGCTCATTTTAGGGATGCTTTCTCCATATCTTGTTTTTCACAGCTAGAGCAAACTTACAGGAGAGAAATTTGCAGAGACGGCCAGCTGCTGGTGTGCATAGGAAGCAATGCAGAAGCCTGATCCTACAGCAGTCAAGGGGCAGACTGGTTGAGAGTCGGAGAAGGGAGGGCAGTGGCCGGGGATGAGATAACTTCTCCTGGGACTTCCTTCCTGGGGACCAGGTGGTTGGAAAGGAATGGGAAGCATGGGATGGGGGAACACCACTGGGATTAGTTTGAGCTGGACTTTTATTGATTTTTTTTTTTTAATATAAGAGCAGGAATCCCTGGAGGGATTGGATCTTCCTTCTGACAGGATCGTGCAGTGGTTTGGGAGCTGAAAATGGTTAAGACTTGTGTTCTTGCTCCATCAATCCTGAGTATAGATAGAAAGATGATTGTGAGCCCCTTTAAGGAAGAAACCCGGCTGACTCCCGTGACCTGGCTGGATTGGCAGGAGCGCTGCTCTGAATCATAGGCTCATAGAGAATACACACTGTCTTTAGATGAAAGTTTACAGGCAACCCCTTCAATAATGATGGTTGCTTTGGAATGTAGGCAGAGCAAAGGACATTTTTGCTTGGGCCTTACAAAGTCTAGTGTTGGAAAGTAGGAGTCCTTGACCCCTAGGCCAATTGAATTCACAGTGCTCTGGCTCTTGGCAGAGCTTTTCAGCTCCTCAAAAGCTGGCTTCTGTCATGTTTGGTCAGTGTCCGAGCTTTCCATATCATATGGGAGTAGACTGGCTTTGCTGACAGGCCATCATGGACAGCAGGTACCAATGGCACACCACCCATCTTTACATTGTTCCTACTGCTTAGCTGGCTCTTCTTACTCCCAGTTTTTGTTAAAGTAGGCAGCCTTTGGGATGTCAGCTAAGGGGGTGCTGCACTCCCGTCTTAATCTTTAATGGCTTGAGCTAGAAATCTGTAATTATAGTCATGTTTTGTGGTTTTCTTGTGAGGTGAGACAATATCCTCTAGGGGAGCTGTGTGCTTCTAGGTAAGATAAAGACAGGGTGATCATCTTAATGAACTGTTTATAAATTTTTTATATTTTATTATTATTATTATCTCATTTTATGATACAGTTCCATATTCCCTTATCCCCTCTCTTATTCGCTCCCCTCACCTAGTTCCTCTATATCATTACTAACATATAATTCTCCATACATAGTCATATGTCCATCATTGCGGGCATGGACAATGGCAGAAAGTCTAGAATCCTGTTGTAAAGATATATTAAACAGTTTCATTGTAAGTCCATCTTTGTCTGGAAGCAGAAATGCATATTACACTGCATTCTCACATCTGGATGTTAGTCTTCATTTCACAGCTACTGTACATCCCCTTAAATGAAAAATCATGATACAAAATCAACAATAGAAAGAAAAATAGAAATTTACAATGCCGTGAAGTTAAATGACATGTTACTAGATATGACAATCTCCATTACACAGCTACTATACATCCCCTTAAATGAAGAGCCACAAAACAAAATCAACATCAGGGAGAAAAAAGAAATTAACAACACCAAGAAGTTAAATAACATGCTATTAAATGACTAATGTATAGCTGAAGAAATGAAAATCAAGAACCTTCTTGAAGAAAATGATGTTACTGCATGATCTACAAGTCATTGAATGATTTAATCAGAAGAAAGTGTTTTGAAGAGATGAAACCAACAGAAAACATCAAAACCCATGTAATACAGTTTCTCCTGATCTTTGTTGAAGTGTGTCTCCTCCAGACAATGAGAAGATGGGTTTTGTTTTTTAATCCAGTCTACTAATCTATAATGTTTGACTGAGCTTAAGCCATTTACATTCAGAGTTTAATATGTATGGGTGGTACTTTGGTCCTGTCATTTTAGGAATGGGTTGTTCATTGGTTTAATCTTCTGTTGTCATTTTACTGGGATGTTCTTCACATTTGCCTTTGGTTTTGGTAGGTGCTATTCCTCTTCTCTGTCAAGAGAACATCTTGAAGTACTATTTGTAGGGCAGGTTTGAAAGAGGCAAATTCTTTTAACTTTTCTTTGCTGTGGAAGAATTTTATTTCATTTTCAAAGATGAAAGAAAGCTTTGCTGGATATGTTATCCTAGGCCGACAATTTTTTTTCTTTTAGAATCTGGATTATGTTACTCCACTCTCTTCTTGCCTGTAGAGAATCCTGTGAGAGATCTCCTGGAAGTTTAATTGGCATTCCTTTATATGTCAACTGATTTTTTTCATGTGCACATTTAAGGATCTTTTCCTTATGTTCAATTGAAAAGAGCTTGATAATCATGTGTCTTGGTGAAGATCGCTTTTGATCAAGCCTGTTGAGAGTTCTGTGCCCCTCCTGGATGTTGTTTCCCAATTCTTTCTCTAGATTAGGGAAATTTTCCTTTATTATTTTATTAAATAAATCTGTAAAGCCAGTTCCACTTTCTGCACCTTCTGGGACTCCCATAACTCTTACATTTGGCCTCTCAATAGTGTCTTCCAATTCTTGAATACTTTTTTTGGGCTCAGCCAGCTCTGCTTCCAGCTTTTTGGTTGCTTCCCTCAGTGACAGGAAATATCTCCCAATTCTGAGATTCTTTCTTCTGCTTGCTTCATTCTATTTTGGAGATTCCCCACTGTACTTGTAATTTGCTCTACTGTGTTCTTAATTTCTGATATACCAGCCTTGATTTGCTTTATTGCTTGCTTAAATTCTTTGAACTCTTGCATTAACTTCTCATTTTTGATCAGAATCTCTAAAATGAGTCTTCTTAAGGATTCTGTGTCCCCCATTTTCTCGATGTCTTCCTCAGTTAACTGAGGTTGGCATAGGGTTTTGCTCCTTTGTAGGAGAGTTTTCAGTAATATTGATTGTGCCTTTGTCTCTTCCTTTGCTCTTGATCATTGTACTTCTGGTTAGCAGACTCTTCTCTTGGGGCAGGTTTCTAAGTTCTGTCAGCCACAGGTCTACAATGCGATTTTACTTATTGCAGTTGGCACACAACTTTTTGCTTGCAGCCACTTGTGCCACAAGCTCCAGCGAGTTCCAGGTCTGGGTTCTTATGTCAGATATCCACCGTGGTTTTCACAGCCCCAGGGCTTGGCTCACCACTCTCCACCTCCTGTGATACCATGCTGAGGCTGCACTGTTGTCTCTGCAACCTTTCTCCCACTTTCAGTTGGAGCAGGTTCCAGGATTAGAGAGACACCAGGTGTCCTATCTAGTTAGGTTGTTGGTGGTGCTGATCTTGCTGGAACCTGTTGGACGTTAGGTCTGGGTGCCACCCTGACCTATTTTGACTGATATGATGCCACAGTCAGTATTATTTTCCTGTGGGACCAGTGAAATCCATGGAGCTCAGTGAGTTCTCATGAACTCAGCACATGCACAGTTCACTGTTGTCCCCTGCAGTCCCAATGCTATTGTCACAGTGTACAAAATGGTGCCTGATGTGCTACCACAACAGTTCTTGATCTGCTGGCTGTCAGATCCGAGGGTTACCCAGACCTGCCCTGGGTGGAACCTGTAGAATGCCACGTCAAGTCAGAAATGAGCTCACTCCCAGCTCAGCACAGCTCAGTCCTTTCCCTTGCCTTTGCCTCCTTGTGCAAAATGGTACCCAATTTGGCTCTACGGGGCTGACTGGGCTGTGAAATCCACCCTTTTCTCTCACTGCCCATCTGAGATCTGCTGCTCTGTCTCTGCTCCTGGTCAAATCAAATGAACCAGCAGGACGGACAGTTCTTTGTCTGGGTTCACCTCCCAAGCTCCCAGTGAAAGTCCCTTCCCACCTGGTTGCTGATGGAGTTCCAGCTGCTGGTGGAGTTCAGATTGCTGTTAGCTCAATGCCCCAGTAGTATCAGTCACTGCAACACCACACCGCTGTACCCACTGCTTTTCTGTGTCTGTCAGTCTCCAGGTACCCATCTGCTGTTGTTCTGGCCTCTCCTATTTCCTGGAATGTGTGCTCTCTGCTTCATCCTGATTAAATGTTTTTCCATCCCTTTAAACGTGTCCTTACCCTATTCTGCCATCTTGATTCCGAACTGTTTATAAATTTTGAAATCATTAGTTTACCTCTCACTTAGTTTGGTTTGAAAAAAAGAGAGTTGGGTTGGTTTGCTTACTGTGTTCATAGTGAAATAAACCTAGCTGTGAAATCATTATCTAAATGCTCTTGTTTTTGGTTGTACTATTTGATCTTTATGCAGCCAGGCTATTTGCTCTTTTATGTGTGGCTGGGTATTATATAGAGAAAGGTTAGTCACCCCTAAAATCTGGAGATCAACCCTCTCTCCCAAGAATTCTTTTTTTTTTAAAGATTTATTTTTATTATTTTTTAATTGGAAAGGCGGATATACAGAGAGGAGGAGAGACAGAGAGGAAGATCTTCCTTCCGATGATTCACTCCCCAAGTGAGTGCAACGGCCGATACTATGCCAATCCGAAGCCAGGAGCCTCTTCTGGGTCTCCCACGTGGGTGCAGGGTCCCAAAGCTTTGGGCCGTCCTTGACTGCTTTCCTGGGCCACAGGCAGGGAGCTGGAAGGGAAGCGGGGCTGCCGGGATAGAACCAGCGCCCATATGGGATCCTGGGCATG